ATATATATATAGAGTATATCATATATACATATATATAAATCAAAAATTCTTAATTTCTTTATTAATTTTTTCATTTGTTTTTTTTTTTAAACTATTTGAAGAGAAATGAAGATATGCAAATCTTTCATTAATTTTTTTTTCTTATAATTTTTTTATTTTCTTTTTTTTACCTGACAGGAATCTATTCCAGGACTTGCTGCGCATAGAGTGCGGTTATCAATAACTGCAGTCGGTAGTTTACTGTAAGCAGTTTTGCATTCTTTCTGCGTAGTTAAAAAAGTTTTGGCTTCCAAAAGCATATTGGGCGATGATCCTTCTGAAAAACAAATACAGATGTAACAACTTTAGCATTTTTGGAATAAAAATATTATTGTATTTTTATTATCAGATTATAATTAGGCAAGAATTAATTCATTCCACAAATTACTAACAATAAGTAATCATTACTTACGATATTTAGTATTCCCCCATCCAGCGATGGAAACTTCCTCCCCTTCTAAATTCTTATTTTTCATATTGCCTAACGGAAGACAAGCGGGAAGAAGCATCGCTGAAAGTTTATAAAACCTATTAATCTATCATATTACGACAAGGAAAAAGAATTTGTGTTCTAAAATATGTAATATTTAATTCTGAAGATTTTTATAACATAAGTTAACACATGTAATAATTTTGAAAATTTTATCGACTTTATAAATTTAATATCTATTTTAATGTACTTTGTATGTTTAGAAAAGATACGATTAATAATGCAATTTGTGTATCTGGATGTGATCACAGCATTCTAATTTAAGAGTAGAAAAGAAGAAGAATAATACTCGACTTTTACTTCTATAATTACTCTTTAAATGAGAAATGATAATATGCATTCATCATTTAAGATTCGCATAGGATTTAAATGACTAGTTTGCAGGAGATCAGATTAAAAGTTAATAATAAATCCTCTAAGAAGGGAATCTCGTGTAAATCACTAAAAAGAAGCTAGATAATTTTATAGAATTTTTTTTAAGAAACGATAGTGAATCTTTTTAAAGATTTTCTGTGTTTTATTATACATTTTTAAGTGAAGAAAAAATATTTCGTTAAAAAACAATTTAATTTATAGAGTCCACAACAAATATTGACGTAGTTTCCTTGTCGGAATTGTAAATGCAAGAATTTTGTGCATTTTGCACTCTGAGACAATAATACACAATAATTACTTATTTTTTATGAAATTACTTTTTTAGTAAATCAAGAAAATAAGAAAAAAGTTGAAAATTAAGAAAAGGAAGTATTTTAAAAAATATTATAATTTTATCAAAGAATTTTATTTAATTTATGCAATAAAAATGGTTTAAATTAATTTTATTATTTTATTAATTTTACAGATTTAGCGACAAATGTATTTGATAAACTTCATCATGTATTACATCGGTATAATTTGATTGATTAATAATTTTTGAGTAATCTTTTCTATCAATTTCAAAAAAATGATTTAAAGAAAAACGCATTTAAAGTTTTTGATATTGAAAAGTAAAAATTATATTATCACAAGTTCTATTTCTTATTCCTGTACTAGACGACACTAGAATTTTTTTTTCGCTTTCGTCAAATATTAAACATGATCTATTTCGCTTTAAGTTTCAAAACGCAGTCATGACAATGGAATCGATATCGATTCGATATCGAAATCATCTTTGATTCGACATCAATTTCATTGTCACTTCTCACTGGGAAGTATACAGTACAGAAGTATATTCAGTTACAGAAAACAGATTTATAAACAGAATCGAGGTCTCGTACTTATGCGCAAGGGATAAACAAAAATTCCTTAAAACTTTGTTTCGTTCTGTAACTTTAGAAATTTTTTACATATCTACTATTGATTAAAGAAAAAACATTTTACGATTTTTTTGAACTGATTACACGAGGCTCCCTCTTTAAAAATCTTGGTAAAATTTAACTTATTTTTTACCTTTTATCTCACACTAAATGAAATTTCTTTATTTAATAAATTTTATATCACGCGATTTTGCTTAATATATAAGAAAAATATTACTTTTTATTCCTTCAAAAGACAGATATAACTTTGAAAACAAAATAGAATATAAAAACTTACATGTAAATTGTACCTTGCGATCTGTTTTTAAAACCGCCGCATCATTCTCATGAGAGATATCATTGTATTTGTTATGTATTATTATCTCTTTAATGAGAACCTCAACTGGATGTGCCCCATCGTCGTTGCTGTCGAAATCTAGATCGCCAATACGCGCTATATAGTTCACAAGAAAATTCATTAAAGAAGAATCAGAAAAACAATGAGCGGCGGTGAGGATATGTCTCTCGCTAATCAAAGTGCCACCGCATATCCACGATATCCATTGCAGACCAGGCATAGGAGAAATAATTTGCCCAAGACGAACTATCCAAGGAAATTCACCTGCAAAATTAGTTTATTATATTGATAGCTGCAACAATAATCACGTGTTGAAACAAATACTAATGAACTAT